AATGATCATCGTTGTATTCTCTGATTGATTTCAGGATACCTGTACAGGATTTCAATATTGATCTGTAAAATTTTTTTCATATTATGATCATCGTATTCTCTGATTGATTCCAGGATACCTGTACAGGATTTCTGTTAGGTGGAATAGGAGAACTCAATAAAAGTAGACGACCAAACTTCATGGTAGTTGAAAAAGGTAATAGGTGATTTTCCGTACAACTGCGAGATCTCGCGAGATGCATGAAAGACGCGCGTCGAACGTCTGCCGCAAAAATCGAACGATTTGATTTTGAACTTGAATTTCTTTATTTCGTAGCTCACATCGACCGGCCGATATTTGACAGAGGAATATTGCATTCGAATACCCTTACTTAATCAAAATTGTCTATCATCAAATGTGTACAGCACATTATTGACATGGAAATGTCCCCCAAAATACTTTCGCGTTTGTCGAATCTCACGCGATGTTTGACGCCACTACGACGCTATGACCTTTGTTTGTCCTGTTTTTACGTTCGATTTCACGCATAACGCGTGATTCTCGCAGTGGACGGAAAATGGTCTATATTTTTGCAGTTTCATCTTTGTTCAGAAACAAAAATAATGATCGTTCTGTTTATAAAACTATTTTAATATTTTTCAAATCAAATAAATCTGTTTTGGTTGCAACAGTACCATGTCATTATTTTATGGACAAATATTATAAAAAAAATAATCTGCCCTTAATATAAAGACCACCTGTTCATAAAAGATTATTTTCATGAAGTCTCTTCAATCAATGCACCATTCAATTAATTCTCAGTCGGTCAGTCGGTCCATCGTTTGATTCATTGACCAGTTCATCCAGCCTTCAATTTTTTCGTCAATCAATCGATCAATCAATTCTTTTTTATCTATAGATACCAGCATCAATGAGATAGAAGAATGTTTCAAGGGTTTCCTCACCAGATCAGACATTGCTATTATTTTGATAAATCAGAATATAGCGGAACTCATTCGTCATGTCATTGATCAGCATACAATACCCATTCCGTCGGTTTTAGAGATTCCATCTAAAGATTGA